AGTATAAAAACCATTACACCTATGGAGAGTCCCCGTAAACCATAAAAACAAACCTGTGTGTGTGTGTGTGAGAGTCTGATAGTGTGTGTGTGTGAGAGTCTGATAGTGTGTGTGTGTGTGTGTGAGTCTGATAGTGTGTGTGTGTGTGAGTCTGATAGTGTGTGTGTGTGTGTGTGTGTAACGCTGTCACGGTCAGTTGACACAGTGTAACGTTTGTAGCTGTGTCTGATTTCAGAGACATTAACAAGCGTCTGACGGAGGAACAGGCCCGAAGAGCTTTAGACAGAGCCGTCAAACTGGAGCAGGACTTCATCGAGTGTTTCTCAGGTCAAACATCATCACTCTCTGATTGGCTAACCTCCCAGTGCACTCAAACTGAGTTGACATGAACGGCAAACCAGTCCCATTTATAGTTTTTATTAAGATTTTGAAGTAGTAACATTTTAATTTTAATTTTAGTAACTTTGTTGTGGGTTTTGTCATTCTTACTAGTTTCTTCTTTTAAGAAAGCTATAAAGTTTTTAATTCATATTTTAAATTAGTTGTTATTTTCACATGTTCCTTTTCCACTGTAACTCAAGAGCTACAGTTATCAGGTGAGATGTAACGTTAGCACTTATAGGTAGCTGCTAATTGTTAGCTATAGCGTGTAACTAGGCTTTATAATTAATATAAAGCCTGGTTTCCCGGAGCTGAAAAATAACCTGTAGGCCTAGCAAACCGTCAAGTCTCATACCGATATTATGCAGTTATGAGAGAGATAGCGAGAAAGAGAGAGCGGTTTTATTTAAATGTAGTCTACTACATATAGTTAACACAGTTTATTATTATACACTGCCCTTCTCTCAATTCAATTCGGAATTTGGGAGGTCGTAAAATCATGCCGTATATCACTGCGTCCGTATGATTTTCAGATGAAGGTGTGTGTGGACATACGATCCTACGACCGTCAGAATAAGTATATATATATATTTTTTCTATTAATCTTTTTATTTTTTATTTTTTTATTTCATGTGTTCTGTTTTCGGTTAAATTTTAGTTGAAGTTTTATATTTTTGTTGTTTCATTAGTTTTAAATTAAAAACATCTATTTAGTATTTAATACTATTTTTAATTAGTTTTTATTTTTACATGTTCCATTTTAATTTATGTTAAAGTTTTAGTCATTTTGCTTTGTGGCGTTGTCATTTTTATTCGTTTTCAAAGTCTTTTATTGTTTTTTATTTTAGTTTTAGTTATTTTTAGGGCTGCCACTAACGACTATTTTTATTTTGATTAATCTATCGACTAATTTATCGATTAATCTAAACGATTAATTCCCCACCAAAAAAATCAACAATTTTAAAGAACATTTTATTAAACTTGCAACTTTGCCATTCAGTAGTGTACCATAAAAGAGTAAAAATGTAAACAAACCTAATAAAAATTAAATAAAAAGAAAATAATTACAAAAGTCTGAGAAAGTCAGCATGTTCTTAATGTCAATATATCCACATGTTCTGGGCTTCTGTTCATTACAGCTGCGAGTGCAACTATAAAGGGGGAAAAATATATTTCAATTAACCCCAACGGCTGGGTTTTCACATTAAATAAATGCAATGTTTAGAGTCCACTAGAATCAAGTATTAAAATTGTATTATTTTAAGTATTAAATTTGAAGTATTAAAGGTACTCTTAGAAATGTGTAAACAACAGATTTAAACAGACATCTCAAGCATGATGGGCTTCAGTCGTGAAACTCTAAATGAAATCCAAATTTCTATTAAATCCTTTTTTAAAGCAAAAGTAAAGAGCAACATAGAGTGCAAGAAGCAAGTGTCCAGATCACTGAAATCAGAGCTCGGTATTATCGGTTAGTCGACGCCAGCAAAATGAAGTCGAGGATTTGTAAATATCAAATAGTCGAATAAAATCGACGAATCGCGACAGCCCTAGTTATTTTAGCTCTTTATGTTAAACTAAACAGAAATTAAAAAGGTTGCCTTGGAAATAATAAAAAAAAGGAATATAAGTGAATAAAATAAGTTATGTATATTTTATTTCAGTTGTAGATTTTTTAATATCAAGTAACGAGAATGTTTGACTTTTAGGTAAGGATAATAACCCTGCATCAGATTGTGTTATCACAAAACATCAGGACAAACGTTGGTGTTATTGATTGTTTAAAGTGTTTGTAATGTGTGTGTGTGTGTGTGTGTGTGTGTGTGTGTGTAGCGATCGTGGAGGGCGACAGCTTCGAGGAGATCTACCACCGCGTGAAGTCTGTGCTCGAGGAACAGTCTGGACCGTATATCTGGATCCCTGCGCGAGAGAGACTGTAAACACACACACACACACACACACACACACACACGCATGAGGACTTCCAGCAGGGGCTCATGGGAGTCTCTAGGATGAAGCTCGTGCACAGGATGATCTTCTGATTCACACCAACAGCTCGTTACATAATGTAAATATGCGTCCGTGCGCATTGGTTTCTATGGAGTGGGCGGGGATGCTTACCTCATCACCATGGCAACAGTTCATCGTGGGGTCAGAAACAGCGACCAAGTGAAAATATGACAGCGCTGCGTGTGTGAACTAGCCTTAACGAACGTGTGTGTGTGTGTGTGTGTGTGTGTGTGTGAGCCACTGCTACTGATGAGGATGAAGGTGATCATGTGGGTTGTTTCCATGGCGATTGTGAGCTCAGTGAGTGTAACAGTGTCTGAGGCAATATAGACATGAGCACTGAGCACTTTACTAACACACACACACACACTCTGAGATGCATGTGTGTGTGTCTCATTGTGATGACGTGTCTCTATAGGGCTACTGTTTACATATAATACACACTTTAAACTGCACAGGGAGAGAAAAGCATGTGTGTGTGTGTGTAAGAGAGAGAGAGAGAGAGAGTGTGTGTGTGTGTGTGTGTGTGTGTGAGAGAGAGAGAGTGTGTGTGTGTGTGTGTGTGTGTGTGAGAGAGAGAGAGTGTGTGTGTGTGTGTGTGTGTGTGTGAGAGAGAGAGAGTGTGTGTGTGTGTGTGTGTGTGTGTGAGAGAGAGAGAGTGTGTGTGTGTGTGTGTGTGTGTGTGAGAGAGAGAGAGTGTGTGTGTGTGTGTGTGTGTGTGTGAGAGAGAGAGAGTGTGTGTGTGTGTGTGTGTGTGTGTGAGAGAGAGAGAGTGTGTGTGTGTGTGTGTGTGTGTGTGAGAGAGAGAGAGTGTGTGTGTGTGTGTGTGTGTGTGTGAGAGAGAGAGAGTGTGTGTGTGTGTGTGTGTGTGTGTGAGAGAGAGAGAGTGTGTGTGTGTGTGTGTGTGTGTGTGAGAGAGAGAGAGTGTGTGTGTGTGTGTGTGTGTGTGTGAGAGAGAGAGAGTGTGTGTGTGTGTGTGTGTGTGTGTGAGAGAGAGAGAGTGTGTGTGTGTGTGTGTGTGTGTGTGAGAGAGAGAGAGTGTGTGTGTGTGTGTGTGTGTGTGTGTGAGAGTGTGTGAGTGAGTGTGTAAGAGTGTGTGTGTGAGAGAGTGTGTGTGAGAGTGAGTGTGTGTGTGTGTGCGCGTGCGTGCGTGAGTGAGTGAGTGCGTGTGTGCGTGCGTGTGTGTGAGTGTGTGAGAGTGAGAGTGTGTGTGTGTGTGTGTGTGTGTGTGTGTGTGTGTGT